AGAGAGAACTTCAGGTCTTTGTGTTATCTGTGTTGGCCATCCTGTAAATGAGGCTTTTCTCGCAGATTCCATGGCAAAATTCTGAAATTTAGGACGAGTAACACCAGGAACATCGTTTGGTCCAAGTGACGACTCGTATCGAAAGTTGAAATTTTCACCTGTAGGTACTTGTTGAGTGACACTAAAACCTGATAAATTTGCCATATTAGGAGGCAAAGAATTAGGAGTGTAGCCATTTTGCATCCCACCTTGTCGCACCCAGGGACAATTAGGGAAATGCTGTCTGTGTTCCATGGCCACAATATCCCCCTCACACCAGCCACTGAGAATTCCCCCACAGTGAGTACATTGTACCTTGTCATCAAGTCCTGTGTAATAAAATCCATCCTGTGCTAGAGCTTGTGGAGTCACTGGTACACCAGCAGGCCAGCAGTGGTCAAATGTTCGTAATCGTTTGTTGTAATCGTTTCGCAGTGGTGCAAGTCGTTCATAAGGTGTTTGTGGAATTACATCCATATTGCTGAAAATTAACCCCCTGCACAATCACATATTGTCTTCAGTTCCATTGTCATTTTGTTATAATTTTGTATTCTCACTGGCTTTTGTAATAGTAGATCATTTGTTCTAAAACTAAAAGAATGATGCATATATATTATATACTTTTATTTCAAAAGTACCAAAACTATTATTAAGGCAAGTAACAAACGCTGCATTCTATTTCTATCTAAATTTCTTTTTTTGGACTGGCAGGAAATTTGAGAGCAAAAATATCATAAATGAACTTGGGAGTTTTCCCTATCTCGACTTTTCAAACAAATTTAAAAATAGCCGAACTTTGCATGCATGCATCTCATACTAATATATTGATGAAACATGACACAAGAAAGACCTTGACAAGAGAATAGGTAAATCTTATCATAGCATATTTGCAATTTCAGTTTTGGGGGAAGTATGAGTAGCAGGCTGGTCAATAAAATCAGGAAATGTTGTTTCTGGCTTGATTGACAAGTTGTACGACATTGAAAATTGATATCAGAAATAAATTTCTTGCAATAATTTATATTAGAACTGAAAATTGTAACTTGATTTTTTTAATAAAATGCTTAAACATTCCAGTACATTTTAAAGCTATGATTTTTAACTAAAACAAATATTCAACTGCATTTTTTTGTTCGTAAATTACTTTTACTGCTTTATCCACCTTATTTTTTTTTCTTTCAAATTAGGAATTTTTGACATGAAATTTCGAAAAAGGTCACTCAGGGGTGAATAGCCATTGAAAAAATAGCTCAATATCCATAAGAGTTTTATCATCAGCAGAAAAATGATTTAATACATTTTTAACAAGATGTGTTTGTGAAACACTATGCACCCGGCGGCAACAAAGTTCGAAAAAGCTATTTTTAGCGTATAGGTCACAATCAAGGTCACAAGGTCATTGACCTTGGTGTCATTTGAAAGAACTTAATTAGTGGAGTATGCATACCAAATATGAAGTCTCTATCTCCTATGGTTCAAAAGTTATGGCGAAGGTTAAAGTTGACAAAAGACAGACAAACAGACAGACAGGACAAAAACAATATGCGCCCTCGATCTATCGATCGGGGCGCATAAAAATTCTCTTAGGTATATAGTACACATGTACCAGTATTTTAAATAATACAAAAGAAGGCTGCTTGTCAATTTCTATGTCATTTGCAAGCTCCTGGTTATATTTGCCAGATTCTTTGGACAAATTCAAATGATGCTGTCCACAGCCAATTGTAGAAAGTGCAAATAATACAAATTAAAAAATTACCAGTAAGTACAATTAATGCAATTTAGGAAAGATGCTTCAATCAACCTTTTCTTCCAAAAATCAAAAAAAAAAAAAACACCTAAATATATGTTCAAATAAGTAAAATGAATACCATGTTAAGCAGAATATAGCCATATAAAGTTTCAATTTTCATTCAGAGTTTCTAATTAAATAACAAGACTGTATAAATTAATAATGTCCTAAAAAGTGAAAAAAAAAATTGTAAGGAATGATTGACTTACCAATATAAAGTTAATGGCAAGATGAAAAATGATGAAGGAAATTATTTGAGAGATTAAAACATGTTGATGTTTACATCATTTACAAACAAAATAATTTTACCCCCAAAATATCCCATTTTTGTTTGTAGCATGTATCCTTAAATAATTATAGCATTTTGTGATGAGTTATGAGAATTTTCATGAAGCATTTCTATCGATGAAAATAGGCAATTTCAATTGATGTTCAACTTGATTGATATCTGTCATATGGCATATAAAATATAGTTTAAGTGTACACACTAATAAAATTCCTGAATGAAAAGGAAATTGTTTTGTATATTAAATTCAAAATATATAAAGTCTTCAGTTGAGATTAGGAAATTATCATAATAGTGAGTGTATAGTACCTAAATTTGAACATGTGTTGAAATTCCATAATTTCATTCCATAAAACATCTTTTCAAAAGTCATATACACAAAATATTTTGTATTAAAATATTTTATCTAAATAATAAACAAAAAGTATGACTTCACTGAGCTTAAACTGTGTTTATTTATGATATTACAACTGTGGACATAGAGAAAATACTTGATCAGTGTCCTTTGAAGTTTTTGTCACCCATTCACTCATAGTAGAAGCTAGCATTTCATAGCTGTAGGAAAGGGGGGGGGGGGGCATTTTCTTCATCATTGGTCATCAATTTCCTTCATCATTGGTCATCAATTTTGACAATATATAGAATACTATAGAAAACATACCTACTATATGCTTGTGCCCCAACAATTATAATGTCTAATGACCTGTTTTTGCTTGTTACGGAATTTTGGTAGTGCCCCCCCCCCCAACTGAAAATGGTTAAACCCCCCACCCCACCCTCATTGAAATTGCTTCCTATGGGCCTGCATTTAGATGACGTGGGAGAGCGGGCATTTGTTAATTTTAATCCCTGCTGATAGAGCAGAGTGAATCATCTTATCATTACATATATGGATTATTTTAAATTGAGTATTTCTAAAGTCAACATTTCACAAAAATATTTCAAAATGACGATCAAATAACTGCCCCCATTTTGCAATTTCCTAAGCACCCAGGGCACTTTATAGGGAGAATATGGTTTTTGCAATTTAATAAATTATGTATTGTCTTCTGTGAAATTTAAAAAAAAAAAAAGCTGACATTGTTGTAAATCTGCATAAATATTCATTGAATGTAACAACATTTAGCAAGCAAATTTTTCCATGACCCTACAGCTTGTGAGATCGATCCCAAGCAGGTTTGGGCCTTCTGTGCATGACCTTAGGGATCACCATGATACAGAAAAAAAAATTGTTTAGCAAAGTTGCTCCTTTTATTAAAAGTATTTTAATGCAGATTTACAATATTTTGAGCTAAGGCCTACAAAAACATATGTTTGTTTACTATTACATGTACATACTAACAAAAAATAGTGTTGGTAGGTCATGTAGGTAGGATTTTCTTTTTATATATTTTTACTACATTTTTTTTTTCATATATCCGTAACTTTAAAATACAATTTTTTTAAAGATAGCTTGAAGGTCTCTTGTTCTATAGCCATCAAATATTTTTTTTTAAATTAAAATCTACCCCACAGTTTTAAAATCACTCAAAAGTGACCTTAAGAACCTGTTAACCATTATGTGTGGAAAAAACGTATATAGACATGCAATTTTTAGACTGTACAAACAAGAAGTCTGTGAGTGAATGCTCACTAGTAATAGCCCCACTCTGATGTGAATATACACTCTTATGCTGACATTGAATTCATACAAAAATGAATCCCACCATTTCGCATGCCTAAACAAAGAGTGTGCTAAAATTTCAAGCATCTGCAATGAGTAGTTATTGAGAAAACTGCTACAAATATTTGTTACGAACAGACGCACGGATAGAGGAAGTTGACATCAGATTCGAACAAAAATGAATCCCACCAGGCCAAAAATAAAATTAGCTTTGTTTGGCGTTGCCGGCCGACTCACATAAATCGGTGCGGTCCGAAGAATTTTTTCAACAGATACTGATCATAATTTTTATTTCGTTATATTTATCCGGATTTAGGTGTTTACGTTTGTGTAATATAAACAGAATGGGAAAGAATCATGTAAACGCTTGATTGATCAAACAGTTTTCATTTATAAGCGTCTATGTGATGTTGAATTAATGCGTATCACGAATCCAAGCATGGCTGTCGAAAGCGGTAAAATGTAAACTCGGTATAACAGAAGTTGATGGCATGACTCTCTGTGATAATGTGGTTTTAAAAGTAAACTGATGAATAAGATATACCACTTCGAAATAGAAATTTCATGGTACAATGTCCTGTCCAATTTGCTAGTCTAGCTGCCATGCTTGGATTCGTGCACATGATTCGAATTTACAAAAATTTAATGTCAGTGATTTTTAATACTACGTATATTAAAGGTTTAAATCTAATAGGGTTTGAAAATCAATGACAAATCTGAGAATCAATTCGGACTGTGGTTGTTGTTAAACTATCGGAAACCCACAGCGTTCGGATACTAACAACATGTACCATTTCTGAAATTTAAATAAAAAAAAATATTTTCCCTACCTACCGACCCAAACGTATAAAGACTAAGTCGGCAACGCCAAACCAACAATATTTTAATTGTGGCCCCATATGGCATGCCTAAACAAAGAGTGTGCTAAAATTTCAAGCATCTGCGATGAGTACCCTAGTTGAGTAATTGAGAAAATTGCGAGGAAAGTTTGTTACGGACAGACACACAGACAGCTAGACAGACATACAAGGGTAAAACAGTATGCCCCCCTCTCCTTCGGAGCGGGGGTATAAAAAGTATTTGGGTCAGTGCATGAAATTATGGTCAGTTGGGTAAAAGTACCATGAGTACAGTGACAACAGATTTTTTTTTTCTTTCCATCCATTTTTTGCATTAAAAATTTATATCCCATTTGGTTTATTATAACCCAACCATGCTATATTCCATTTGGGTGAGTGGTCCAAACTCCCAACCTGTTCAAGCTCTAATATAGCTAAATATGCTACTTCAAACTATTTTGCAATCAATCTTGAGATTGTGTTGGACCTAACTATACAAGTAAGAAGAGACAGGTCTACAGATAATATTGGATACCATATGGTAGCTACTAACGACCACCAACAAATCAGAGTATCAAAACTGAGTTGATGTATTAAGATTCTGGCTTTGTGCAAAATGGGTTACTGGGGTGGACATAAAGAAAACATGTATTGTCTCGTATCATGTTTTCAACTGGTGTTTTTGACCTATTTTTCCCAATCTGCTTCCTATGCATATACCATATAAATATAAAAATATAATTTTTGGTTGCTAAACATGAAAAAATACATAACAAGTACATGTAAAATGTTGTGAAGATACCCAAAAATGGCCAAAATAAATTAATTCAGTGGAATTTTTTCATTAATTTTTGTCTGTCAGAAATTTTAATATAATTTAAGCATGCTGAGGGGAAAGTACAGCAATAATACTAATAAATAAAATTGTCTGTAACCAAAATATACAACTTGTTTGGTGTTTTTATTGAAGATAAATTATTGGGGTTT